CACCCCCAAAGCCCAGTGTGGCAGGGTCTGACTGGGCTGGCAATGGAAGCATCTAGGGAGGACAGGAGAGGACAGGTCACCTGCTGGTGAAAAAGGGAAGGATGGCAGGAGTCAGAGCGACATGGGAGTCACAGGGACCCACAGCCTCTGTGAAGAAGGAGGCTGGCGAGGAAAGTCGTGCTGGTGAAGGGAGGAAGGAGGCCTGCAGTGACGAGGCAAACCAGAGACCAGGGTCAGGAGGGACACAGGGCTGCTGGAGCCACAGCAACACTGCGGCCTGTGCAGATGGAAATGAGGCCAAGCGCCCTGGGAGGAACCAACCTGGCACCCTTCATGGTCAGTCACCCAGTGCTGATCACCAGGTTGCTTCCTGCCCTGGACCTAAAGGCATGTCACTGAAACTCCCTAACTGGAAAACCAAATGAAGCCCCAGGTCTGTGATTCTTTGATGTGCGTGAGTGATTTTTTGTTTGTTATTTTGTGAGACACAGTCTTGCTCTGTCACCCAGGCAGGGGTGCAGTGGTGCGATCATAGCTCACTGCAGCCTTGACCTGCTGGGCTCAAGCCCTCCACCCACCTCAGCCTCCTGAGTAGCCAAAACGACAGGAGTGAGCTGCCACGCCCGGCTAATTTCTTTTTCTTTTTGTAGCAATGGAGTCTCACTATGTTGCCCAGGCTAGTCTAGAACTCTTGAGCTCAAGTGATCCTCCCATCTCAGCCTCCCAAATTGCTGGTACAGGCAGAGCTACCACCATGCCTGGCTAGGTCTCTGAAATATTAAATGACATTTTGAAGGAGATGCAAGCGGGTCCCCTAACTTATCAAGATCTTCAAGTGTGGCTTTCTAAAGAGTGGAAGGCACACTTCGAACCACCATCAACTATACACATGCAAAGAAACGCTTTCTAAATGCGGATGCTAAGTCACGTTCACAGGTTGAGGACATGCCGGCGGCAGACTGAAACTGCTGTTTAAACTGATTTTAGGCCACAGCAGCTGATGCACATCCTCGAATATGAAATGCTTTTAAATGTCACTTCATGTTAAGTACCACTTGGTAGGTTTTTAAATTACTCTCAAATGGCATACTTTCTTAATTTTCCTTCATGGTAAATCATCGGCCATTTCATCACCTTTAATCACGGTGCTGTATTTAAAGCTAACTACTCACATCACAAGTGCACAGGGTAAACGCAGTGGGACAATTGAAAGATTGCATGTGCAGATATCCACAGGATGGCGCTCATGTGTTCTGGCAATCAGTGTCCAGGTGCCAGCTCTGTGAAGCAGAGCTCGGAAAGCAAACCTCGGAAAGCAAATCTCCTTCTCATCTAGGTCCCTGTTGGGACATCTCTACAGGTTACCCACACCTCCATATTAAATATGCATGTCCTCAAAAGCTTGTGCCAGCACTCTGTATTAGGACTGTCTTCACAAACTCCGAGTACAGTACACAGCCCCATAACGTGAACACATACATAACGGTGATGCCACGCAGTGGTTTACAGACTCTTAGATAGTGGAACCCTTGATTCAAATGAACCCCAACAATTAAAAGCAAATATTTTATGTGTACAGATTTATTCCTGAATCTAAACTTATAAAACTCTGTGAAAATATTAAAAGTTATTTGGTGAACATAAAAACAGAGACTGGGTGTAGGGCTGATGATCTGTTGAAAGTAGTCTTAATGCCCATGTGACTCTCATACTGTTCTGTTTGCACAGTTTAAAGAACATTCTGGGTTTTGGGGGGTTTTTTCTTTTTTTTCTTTTTGTGAGACATAGTCTCACACTGTCGACCAGGCTGGAGTGCAATGGTGTGATACCTGCTCACTGCAACCTCTGCCTCCCAGGCTCAAGGAATTCTCCTGCCTCAGCCTCCCAAGTAGCTAGGATCACAGGCATGCACCACCATGCCCGACTAATTTTTGTATTTTTTAGTAGAGACAGGGTTTTACCATGTTGGCCAGGCTGGTTTCAAACTCCTGACCTCAAATGATCCGCCCACTTCGGCCTCCCAAAGTATTGGGATTACAGGCGTGAGCCACAGTGCCCGGCCTTAACATTCTGATTCACAGATAAGAAAACATAGACGTGTGTTTCATATCACATCAAGCAATACTTGAATACTACTTTGTTAAATAAATGTCACCAGTTTTACTGTGGGATCCTTGCAAACACAAGTTTGCCTGGCAGAAAAATGGAGACACTGATCATTTGTTGTAATTAGGTATTAAACATCAGTCTGCATTTTAAAACTTTACATTAAATTTTTTAGAAATAAATGATGCATCAAATATTTATAGAATGAGGCTTCTGGGAATGGAGAACAAGCTTATTCCAGACCAAATCACTACAGATAATTATAAACTGGACAAACTACATGTCACAGCCATTGAAGGCATTGCATAGAAATCAAAAACAAACTTTTGAGAGGGAGCTGATGCTTGGCAGAAGGAAAAAGCTTTGCATTTCTGACTATAAAGACGTTTTGTTGGTGGCAGGCCCTGTTCGTCCAAGCAACCCGCTAAGCCTAAACAGAAAATCTGCAGTCCTGTCTGGCTGACTTAACCCACAATCTTATTGGCTTTAAAAAAAATGAGAGTGTTGAGTTCAGAGCAATCAAAGAAGATTGAAAGCGAGGGAGGACCCTACCATCAAGAGCCAGAGAGGGATCCAGAAATTCTGTGTAATACTGCCTGAGTCTCTGGTTGATCCTGTAACCAAGCATGAACCAAGGAAACTCCATGCAGCTTGGCTAAGGTTAAAAGAACTTAAAAATTTTCTGCTCTTACCCATTGTGTGTGTGCTGGGTGATGGGGGGAAGAGGGGAACTGAGAGCTTAATTCTAGCCATATTAACTGTCTTCCTTAAAAAAAAAAAAAAAAAAAAAAAAAAAAAGTACCTTTCAGAGGAATATAACAGAATCCAGAGTCTCTAAAATATATCATTCACCGCATTTACAAATACAAGCCAAAACTATTAGGCACACACTCAAGAGTAAAAATAATCAATAGCGACTGATCTTGAAAAAAAGTCCAGATGTTGGAATTGGCAAAGATTTTTAAAGAGCCAGTATAACTATATTCAAAGATGTAAAGGAAAATAAGTGCATAATAAATGAACAACAAAAAAGAACCATTAGGACATTCTAGAGTCAAAAAAAAATCCAGTGTCTGAAATAAAAAACTTACTAAATGGGCTTAAGAGCAAATTGCATAACAGATGAACCTACTCTAGGTATTTACATTATAAATATTAAACTCTAATGATATATATGCTGCAGAATTCAGGAAAGTATATACATTACTTTGAAATGCATGAAAAATAAGAATTGATGAACAGATGGAGAGGGATATATGAGTGTTTACTGAACAACTTTATTGTAGATTTTAATTTTTTCATAATGAAACAGAGGGTGAGGGCTATTTGCCTAACTCTGGAAGGTGTAATAGGAGGACCATAGTTTGAAAATTCTAGAATTAAGAGACCAAGCTTTACTTCTTCCTCTAGGTGCTTCCATTCCACTGATACTTCAGTTCCATTCTCATCCCACACTGTCTTTCCCACCGTAGGGAATGCACACGCTGTTCTCCCTACTGAAAAGCTCCTTTTCCTTCCCTGTGCTAACTTCTGTTCACTCTCAAATCTCAGCTTCCTTTGGCCCACCAAGATTGGGCACTTCTCATTCCGCCCCAAACTGCAGCACATGTCAGATGATCTAAATTACTTATTCGACAATATTGAATGTCCTTTTTTCTCATTAGATGAGCAGCTCCATGAGGGCAGAGCCTGGCCTGCCACTCTTCTCCAGCCAGTGGCTTGTAGACGACAGGAGCTGCTCACATCCACTGGGTGTCTGCTTAGCACCAGGCACTCTTCCAAGTGTTTTACACATATCCATGTATTTAAAATCTTACCAGGCTCACAAATAGCTGTTGAAGAATCCTCCCCTTTTGCTCTATGAACAACCCCTGAATAACTTATTGACACCTACAAAGTGCCAGGCACTGTGCTCAAGACAACAGATACAGCATCAGAACAGGCCCCTTCCTGCCTCCCAGAGCTCAGTCTGGTGGGGAATACACAGCACAAAGAGGGAGCCACACATCAGATAACAAGTACTAAGGAGGAAATGTAAGGTACTTGGTAGAAATTGCCATGTTTTAAAAAGTTGCTCACACTTTACTTTTTGCTTAAAAAAAAAAAAAAAACAAAAAACATCAGAAATCCATCCGCTCATCTAATCATGCAAAAAAAGCAGCTGCTCATTGTCTAGGAGACTGGGTGCTGTGCCAACGCTCTCAGGATGCAAAGATGACTTCGGTCTACATGGAACACACAGTCCAGTGAAAGGCTACACATGGAACCAGCCAGCACACCGCATGATGTGTGCTATAGCAGAGGTATATACACCGTGTGCATCAGAAACTTGAAAGCAGCCACTACAGGAAGCCTGACCTCAGTCTGGCTGTCTCTGATGTATGTGGCCACACTTAGCCACCCAATCTCAACTCCCATTACCCCCACATGTGATTCTGCCCCAGGACTGAGTATTCTATCCACCAAGGTCCCTGAGAGAGTAACTTAGCTTCACTCTAGTTTTCTCACATGTGAAAAAGAATGTTAAGGTTTATTTTAAGGATTAAGCGTAAACATTTCATAAGCAATACATACTATAGCACGTTATTCACTGTTATCGGTGAGCATAATGGATTTAAGAGCCCTTGCCCCAGGCTCTATCCTCTCAACAAGTGGCTCCCTGCTCCCAGCATGGCCTTTGCTTTCTAACCAGACTGGTACTTCCCCAAGTCACTCAGGAATTCAATCTGAACTCTTGGTGACACAAAAATTATGTACAAATTTAAATGAAAATCAAGGTAGTGTCTTCTGTTGTCTAATAAGGAAAATGCTAAAAACAAAAACAAACACTTAACACCAAGTTCTCTTCCAAAAAAGCCAAACATACAACGCTGTTATAAAGAAGCAAAACCTCATAGGGTTAAAAGTGTCATTTTATTTAGATGTTACTTGTACATAATCTATAGTAAGATATACAAACAGATAAAAATTGTTTAACAGGAGTTTTTTTTTTTAATACCACTTTAAATTCAATTTACAACAGCATTGGTAATACTGCAAGATGACAGATACTCTAATTTATAAAACAAAAATTACTTGCTACTCTGGCTGATACATTCCCACTAGTCTTTAATGGATTAAAATGTATCATGTATTTTAATTGCAAATTATTACAAAACTTTTACAACCTAGCCACTTGGTGCTCAGAAAACATCCTGATGTTCTAAAAATTTACTGAGATGAAAATGTTAATTTTGGATAGTATCCTTAGTAAAGAAAACATCAGTGCAGCCAAGCTTACAGTCTGGGGCTGACAGTGCAAACTCACTTGCCTTGTGCTCCGCCGCCTCCTGTGCGTGCAGCCACTGGGGAATGGGCAGACTTTCCATCCCTTCCCTACGTCTATGCTATGAGAAAAATGCTTAGAAGACATTAAACTAAAACAGACCTGGAGAAGTAATATGAGGACAATTAAAAATTACCTTATGATTTATAACTGTAATTTAAAACGAAGTTCACAGAAATGAAATGTGCTTTTAAATGTTTCTTCTCCATTTGTTTTGGTAAATGGTTTTTGAAAATGAAACTGAAAATTCAAATCTTCACTTTATTCTTTTCATATAATACCATATTAGAAAAGATCTGGATTTAAATTTCAGAATAAATTGAATTTGCTGGAAAAATACTCTAAAAATAATCTAAACTGGATTTTAGTCATTTTCCATTCTCTTAAAGGTTATGGAACACAACAGGGCAAACGCTTTTCACAAGTCATAAAATAGAGTTGAAAATAACTTGTTGATTCAACTACAGGAAGACAACTAATAATTAACAGGCTCATGAATATTTATGAATAAAGTGCCACTAATTTTATTGTAATAAGATATATATGAATAAATCCTGGCATGGATAGTAGCTTCTGTGTTCTCTCCATCCTGAGAACAGAAGGGCCTTAAAAAACAAGGAAGCATTACCAAATGGGAGTTCTAGACCCACATGGGGAACTCCTAATACAAAAGCAACAAGAAAGACAAGTAAGGAAGACTTTAAAAGTCTCAAAAGTCCTAAGAATAATGCCAATGCAGTAGGCCCTTTCTGGGGGGGGAGGGGAGAGAAATTAGAAATTTAGAAGTTCATTAATAACTGTTATTTATATTCAAGGAATTTATAGGGACAGCCTAGTGGTGACCAGCTTTAGGAAGAGATGCTGAAGAGAGCACGCCCCCAGCACCTGGGACGGAGGAGAGACAGACACGCCAGGGAAGCAGGCTTGAAAAGGGGATGCAGACATGAGGCTTTTCAGGGATTCAGATCTACACACCTGAACCCAAAGGACAGGCTTTGTACAATCACTGCCCAGAAGCCCAATAGGTGTCCACTCGAGACACACACACACACTGAGGGGACCTGGGGGCTGGCTGACTTGCTCGGATGCATTAACAAAACCCCCGAGTCACCATCCTGTTCACACTCCTACCATCACCTCAAACAGCTCTACTTTTAGCTCTGGATTCTTCGCTTCACCATAACTGAGTAACATAACCACAAGGCATATGAAGTTCTGTTAGGTAGGTTAAGGTCCTTAGTAAGTCGAGGGTGTTAGCATATTTTTCAAGTCATACCTATAATCAATGCCTGGCGCACCTGTTTACTCTACACAAATAGTTACCTTTCAACCAGAATTACAAAATACAGAGGCTCTCATTCTTCAGTTTCCCCATGGGTCCCTGGTACTGCCACGTGGGAGCAATGGAAGCGGGGAGGTGAGGGCACAGTGCTGTGCTGCATGAATCTCATGAGGTGCTCTTTATCGTTTAATGTGCCAACAACAGGAGAGAGGAGAACCATGTGCTTCTCAGACAGGGCGAAGGCCCTCCTCACAGGAGTGATGCCTAATCTGGCCCCAGCACCATCAACAGTGAATAGCTGTCAATATCTACTTTCACCTAAACCTAAGCTTTCAAAATTCCGATCAGGTGGCATAAGGTGCCATCTAAAGTGCTCTCTGTTGCTTGCTGAGGAGCTAAGAACTCCTGCGGCTCACTCTGGACGTGGCTGTCAGGAAATTAAAGGAGCAGGGCTCCTGTGCAGCCCAGGCCCGGTACCGCAGCTCAGCCCAGCTCATCAGCACAGCTCCCAGAGTCATGGACTGCTTGCATCTGTTCCGGCCAGCTGGTGGCCATGCTGGAGGGGCTGGCCAGTAAGCTGAGTATCATCTCCAATGGCCCCGGAAGGAAAAAGGACCCTGTTCTTCACGATTACTGTTGAGCTGCTGAACTCTCTTGCAAAACCATCAACAGGCATTTACAAAGCAAATGCCCACAGGGAATCCAGCCTGAAAAGGCCCTTCCAATTTCATATTTGACAAGCATGCGCAGAGGCAATGAAATTATTCAGCAGAGCATTCAGATTCACTCAGAGGTCACCAAGCCAAGAAACTGAAAGCAGAAACATTTGATTCTCCCTATTTGTTAAACTTTTTCCTCTAAAACCAACTTCTTCAGAAACACCACCTTTAAAAAAAGAAAAGAAAAAACCAAAATGGTGAAACAATATCACTTACTGGTTGGAAGACATCACTGTGACATAGTCATTAGTCTTGCAGAGACCTAACACCAGGCAGCTTCACAAACACACAGCAAGTCTGCAGAGTTATATTGATCAGTAAGAGGAAACCCAAACTGCACTAGATACTCTCATGGCCAAGAGGAAAGCAGATGCTGTTTTCAGGACAATGCGATAGTGACAGCCTATTCCTCATGTGCAGCACAATTTGCTATGTTTAGTGGCACTTAAGTATTACACAGTAAATACTGAAAAGACCCAGAATTTTTGGATGTGCAGAAGCAATATCACATTATTTATACAAAAGGTGCTATGCTACGGGATTAGAATACCAATATTTGGGTGTGGAGACCACTTAAAATCTTCAACACGCTCCCACACGCGGCCTCCCGCTGGCCCCTGCTCAGTCGGACCAGTCATTCTCGTCAAACTCCGAGTCGTCGTCAGAGTCGCTGTACTCCACGGCGATGCGCCGGGACAGGATCGTGGCCACGTCGTTCCCCACAGGCTCCCGCTTGGCCTCCTGCTCCCGCTGCTCCTGCACCTTTTTCAGCTGAATTCCTGCAGATACAACACATGGCTCAGAATCACATCCTTTTGCTGGCTCCGGATTAAAGATAAACAAACAAATATATCTACTGGACTTTTTTTTTTTTTTACTGACACTAAGGATAAAAAGTTTTGGGAATTTGAGAGGAGTAAAGCTCAGGGAATATTAAAAGTTTCATGAGCAAAAACACGTGCAAAGTGAGATTTTTTGTAACAATGTGTTAAAGTATTAAAAATTCATAATTGCCAGGCGAGGTGGCTCAAGCTTGTAATCCCAGCACTTTGTGGGAGGCCGAGGCAGGTGGATCATGAGGTCAAGAGATTGAGACCATCCTGGTCAACATGGTGAAACCCCGTCTCTACTAAAATTACAAAAAAAATCAGCTGGGCATGGTGACGTGTGCCTGTAATCCCAGCTACTCAGGAGGCTGAGGCAGGAGAATTGCCTGAACCCAGGAGGCATAGGTTGCGGTGAGCCGAGATCGCGCCATTGCACTCCAGCCTGGGTAACGAGAGCGAAACTCTGTCTCAAAAAAATAATAAAAATAAAAATACATAATTTCAGTATACCTGAACACTATCAGAGAAAACTTTGGAACTGCACCATCCCAGCTGGCAGCAGCTAGCCCCATATAGCTTTATAAGCATGAACTCGCATGTGGCTAGCGGCTACTCTCCGGGATGCTGCAGGCTGGAACACTTCTATCATCACAGAACATCTAGTAGGCAGTGCCAGCATCCAGAGCCTTGGAAACAGTGTTCTACACTACTCACTCTCAGCTGAAGTGAGAAGTAACTGAGAAACCTTTATTCAACAATTACTGTTCAAAGGGACATAAAATACAGTCATCTACTTTCTAGCTTAGTAACAAAATAAAGTATTTGATGATTTAATGTTTACTCTTTTTTTTTGGAGACAGGGTCTCACTCTGTGACCCAGGCTGGAGTACAGTGCCGTGATCACAGATCACTGCAGCCTTGACCTCCTGGGCTGAAGCCATCCCCTCACCTCAGCCTCCTGATTAGCTGGAATCACAGGTGCATGCCACCATGCACAGCTAAATTTTATAATGTTTTTTGTAGATACAGAGTCTTGCAATGTTGCCTAAGCGGATATCCCTTCATTTTTTAACTGTTTTGGAATAATTTCAGATTTATAGAACAGCTATTACCAGCAGAAAAACATTCCCATATACTTGGATTCCCCAGCTGCTAACATCTGACCACATTTATTTCTCAATCTTCCCCTATCATCTTTACACAGACAGACACAGATGCTTTTCTCTGGACCATCTGAGAGTAAACGGCATATAATGTCCCTTTACCCCTAAAATAATTCATGTGTTGTTGCCACCCTCACCCAAAAAATCAAAATCCTGAAACTAGTATGGATACAATACTATTATCCAGCCTAGAAATATTATTCCCATTTTGCAAAAAGACCCAATCTAATTGCAAATAGAAAAGATTATCCCCTGGTTCAGGATCCAATGGAAATTATCTGCGACATTGGTTGTCAAGTTTTATTAATGTCCTTTAATCCGGGCAGTTCTTCAGGCTTTCTGTTTTACAACCTTCTCATCTTTGAAGAATATAGGTAGCCATTCTGCAGAATGTCCTCGATTTGGGTGTATCAGATGTTTCCTCAAGATTAGATACAGGTTATGTATCCATTCTCGGTGGACTGGGCTTACAAGGCGTTAAAAATGAAGCAAATGCAACACTATCCTACTCTGACCCCAAATTTGACATTGATGAGCTAATGTACCTCTAGGACTTTTTTTATTGACAAAATAAAAGTATGCCCATGAGGTCCAGGTAAACAGAGGACCCTGGGGTCTTTAGAAAGGTGTGTGGGCCACACCGTGGGTCTGGTTCATGGGCACACAAGAAGAACGCATAGGCAGTAGCATCACAGCTTCTCTGAAGGACATCCTTGATGCTGAGCTAGTGGGCTGCAGCCAGGCTCCTTGCTCAGTCACTTCCAGATAAGACGACTAAACCGTGATCAAGACTGTGCAGCTCCCCACAGGTGAGAAGCTCTTACATAGTCCCACATGTCAGTGACCCTCGACCAACCTGGGCTGGGACCTGGTTAAGAATCCACGGTGTGGGCTGGAGGTTCCCAGGGGCTCTCTGGGAAGCCCAAGACAGGTGAGGCCAGGTTCCCTACCCACTTCCACCTCAGATGTTCCGTTTCCATGTGTTTCGTGGTCAGGGGGTCAGTGCAGACTTTCATCTGACACAAGGGTTATGCTGTTGACTATCATTGATTCTGAAAAACCACTGGCTTAGCACATCAAGCAAATATGACAAGTCCAGGACAAATTCTTTGTTTAAAGAATTAAATCATTAATATGAGCTCACTTTCTTTCATTTATACCTTTCCCTTTAAAATAGAATGCAGAGAAGATATCTAATTAATTAATTGATCATTTCAGTTATTGGGTTTCTGGTTTCCAGTTAAGTAAAAACTTTCTAATTTCAATTCTTTTTTTCTTTTTTTTTGAGACAGGTCTCACTCTGTTGCCCAGGCTGAAGTGCAGGGGAACGACCATGGCTCACTTCAACCTTGAACTCTGGCATTCAAGCAGTCCTCCCACTTCTGCCTCCTGAGCAGCTGGGACTACAGGCGCATGCCAACATGCCCAACTAATCTTTTTGAATTTTTTGTAGAGACAGGGTTTTGCCATGTTTCCCAGGCTGCTCTTGAACTCCTGGGCTCAAGCTATCCACCTGTCTTAGCCTCCCAAAGTGCTAGAATTACAGGCATGAGCCCACTGAGCCCAGCCTCAATTCTTGATCACACCGTGTTTGCCTTACACTGGACAAAAATAAATCTACTATTAAAAAAAAATCAAATAAGATCCCTTTAACTCTATTTTAAAAAACACAGTGAGTAGTCATTTGAAGACAAGGAGGCTGTAGCTGGCTGGAGACATGAAGAAATCTCTTGCTAAAAGGCAGGCTGTGTGTCTGAAGGCTCCACTTACCCATTCGAATAGCAGCAAGGAGGTCACTTCGAGCATCACTGATTGGTGGCTGTGCAGGCTCTTGCCGCTTCGCCTCTGCTACTGGGGGGCCATGCATCGGGGAGGATGAAAGAGAAGACCCGGGGCCAGGAGGGCCTGGCGGGGGAGGCGGTGGGCCTGGGGGTGGTGGGGCTGTGACCAGGAGCCCAGTGGAGGGTGGGTGAGGAGGAGCTGCGTGCGTGGAGCCGGCTGATGTGGGGAATGGGGGTTGCATGGGGATCTGGAGAGGGCTGACGAAGGCAGTTTGTGCAGAGGGAATCACAGGAGGAGGGGGCGGAGGTGGTGGTCCTGACGGGTTGTAATACTCAATTATCTGCGCTGGGAGTATCCTGAAAGAGATATGAGAAACAGTCACCAAGGGAACAAGAGAGGGTCACGTCCTGTGAGCGCTTAGACTCCTAACAGAGCCATCCCCCCAACACAACACGTATTGCCACCTGCACTTCAATCACAGCAGGATGCAAACAGGCACACCTTGGGTCAGTTATTTCCACAGTTCTACATGATTCATCATGACAGAACTCAAGACCTGATACTGAAATGTACCAAAAGGAGAACCACTCAAAACGTGCAGCACTTCCTGAAGAAAGGCAGAATAAAGCAGCTGACTGCAGAGGCCTGGACGGCAGCGGCAGCACCAGCACAACCTTCACACTGGGGTCTCAAGGCAGTAGCTCACAAACTTGTCTTTTAAGGGTTCTAATGTCAACCAGATTGGGAACTGTCTACATTCTCTAGCCCACTCCTGTGGAAATGCCCCATACCCGAAGTGCCCAGGTGTATCAAAAGCTTTGAAAAGTCACACAGCCAAGATATCTGAATAGAAATCAGCAGATTTTTCATTCTATTTAACCAACTGGCCCATAGGTCCTCTCTTTGCCTGACACAGCCTCAAGCCACTCTGGGGATCCTGATGTGGGAAATATCCAGGCGTGCGTGGCCAGGGAGAGCATTTGAGAGCAGGACTGTCATTCAGGCCGGGGTGCACAGACGTGTGTTAGCAGTGGACACCTAAGCAAGGTAACGTTTCTGGGCACCAACTCTGAGGAAAGAAGTAGTTAAAGACTAGGGTAAAGCTGAAAAAAAAAAAAGAGAGAGAGAGAGGTGGGTGCCTAAACTGATAAACACCTGAACATGAAGGTCTCTGAATTCTACTTGTCAGGAAACAGGAGGGCCTGGGGCAGAATGATGTCTAGGTGTCCAGAGGTTAAGAAATGAGACTTTGGTCAAGTCTGAGAAGTGAGGCATGGGAGCTCCGTGGTGTGGTCTTCTTGTCTGTGACAACAATTCTCGTGGTCCACCCAGGATGTGTCCAGAAACTTGAGGGTTTGGGACAGGTTCACAAAATTGGCATTTCACCTTTTATCAATGCCTTGGCTTAAAGAGCCATTCAAACACTCAGAGTGTGTGTATGGGAACATGCATGTGTACAGTGTGGCCTGAGACTCAGCTGGTAAGTCTGAGCTTACACTGCACCTGCTTTACTTCACACAGAATGTTAGAGCTGCTAGTATCTACATCCAGTCATCTTTGGCTCTCTCCTGGCCTCTAAAATATCAGTTAAAATTCTTGTATGACATATAGCAAGATTCAAATGCAAGGCCAGCAGGGATTAGGGTACAATGCACATTGAGTTACCCGTAGTCTGCTGGAGCCATTGGTGCAGAGGCCTGGGACCCCTCTGGGGCCTGTGGGGGAGGCGGTGGCGGTGGCTGCTGAGGTCTGTTGAGAGCCATGTGCCTTGCCGAGGCAGATGGGGGCCGGTACTCATGCTCCCCAGCCTGGCTTGCAGGCCCATGTGGCGGCGCATCACCAGCTGCGTAGGAAGGGGTCACCGGCTGGGGGTGCAGAGAATGGTTGGGAGTAGCTGGGTAAGAGTAATCGGTAACGTCCGATGCATGTGACCTGGCATTTGAGAACAAGAGGAGGGGGAAATCTAAATTAAGTTAAAAATTGTCAGCTAACAGGTATGTGCATGTATTTGAATACTAACGTTGCTAATGCACAAAAATCAGACATTTATTTGCTTTACTATCAACTAGGTCTAGCCCCGTGAGAGATTTCAAGCAGCAACATAATTATTATAAGTCAGCAGCAAGCCCCAGTGTTACATGGATTCAGATTCACAGCTTTGAAGTGAACAAGTCAGACAGACCGGCAAACAGGAAACAGCAGAGCCTCCTTTTCACAGAATTTCAGCATACTTTTTCTCTAAGAAAGAAGGCTACAAGAAAAACCATTCAATTGAAACAGGATCTATCTAAGACAGAAGATTTCAGTGGCAATGAAACTGACAGCATATAATTAGAAAATATAAAATGGCAGGTGAACTGGACAAATATCAACAGTAAGAACAGGAAAAGAAATCAAGAATGCAGTATAGTGAATCATATTTTTCTTAAACAGAAGAAATATATTTAACCAAAAGAGAAGAAAGCAATGCAGTGCACTATGGAAAGGCCTTCTTTCCGTAGTTTTCTCTGCACACACACTGGGTGTGAAACTCTGAAAGGAATGGGATCTTGGATTAGTGGAGCAGAGCTGAGCGAGACACTGGGTGTAGGGACAGGACTCCCGCTAAGCCCTCAGGAGGAGAGGAAGGACCCAAGTGTGGCAGCCGGGCAGCACTGTGGGCATTAGTAAGACAGTCACGCACTCCTGGCCCAGGTTATGGGACACGTGGCCAGGAGATGCTGTACATCCTCTCATGGCGGCAGAAGCAGGGGCAGCCTGAGGTTGGGAACCCAAAGAAAGCAAAACAACAAACCCGCTGGGCACTCTGTCCTCTTTGGCGCTCCCTGCCTGCTCCAGTTTCTTTGCGTCACTCATAAACTCAATGCCCATTTTCCTTCTCTCCCACTCTTCTTTTCTTGTTCTGACTTTTCTCACATTTACTTGCTGGTTTCTGTTAGGGTCCAGCTTGTGTTTCTCTCTCTGAAGGAAATACCAAACACACATTGGGGTGCTGAGGGAGCAGGGAAGATGCACGCTGCATTTATATCTTTGGGGTTCCTGTCGGTAGCTTTTCTTAACTGGAGCACCGTGTGGCACAGAAAAGCCTTCCAAATGAGAAGAGACAGCTCTTTTCCCCCTTTTCTCTTTCCTTAATTGAAGTGTAACAACTAATAACTACTCCTTTGTTTTCTTCCCTATAATTGCAGTATGAAATCTGGATTATGGTGCACTTCTGATTATGTCTTTTGAACTAGGTAAAATGCTAGCAAATGGCTTAAAAATAAATTTAATGGGGAAAGGACCTGACCTGTATTTCAACGTAGCATATTTTAAAAATGTAAATACCTATAACCCTTGGAGACACGGATGATATTTGCTTGACTCTGTGCATGACTACAAGTCACTGGCTTTGAGCGCAACCTTTTAAAGGAAATAGAGTCCTCCAGCCAAATACGTACAACTTCTGATGAGATGAGGGCAGGAAACTATAAATACTGTGGCATAACTGGGAGAGCTATCCCTGTCAAGGAACCTTGCAACACAGGGAAAATAGGAAGCAAGGAAAAGGAGCTAACCAGAGAAAGAAGGAAGAGGCAACAAGTATCTGAAATAGAAATCAGAGATTTCTACAGGGCAGAGCCAGGGGCTCTGAGGACGACAGGGGCTTGGGGAAGAGGGGACTGGTCAGTTAAACAAGGAAGGACCATAGAAAAGGGATATACCAGCGGGTAGGGGGAGGAGGAAGGAGCAGGCAGCTGCTGGAGACCAGTCCCACCCCCAGTGGGAAGGCAGAAACCAGCTGCAGACACACAGCCAAGGTGGAAGTGAGCAGGGGTCCCAAGGCCTTTCGGTCATCACCTGTTACAGAAAAGAGGACTGGGAGGGCCAGAGATGACACCGACACGGAATGAGGAAGAGGAGGAGGAGGGCCTGGAGGGTGGGAGACAGCACTGACATGGGAGGAGGAGGGCTGGGAGGGCTGGAGATGATGGGAGGAGGAGAGACAGAGATGACACCAACATGGGAGGGGGGAGGAGGAGGAGGAGGAGGAGGGCTGGAGACGATAGGGACATGGGAGAAGGAAGAGGAGGAGGAGGAGGAGGAGGGCCGGAGACAACAGGGACATGGGAGAAGGAAGAGGAGGAGGAGGACGAGGGCCAGAGATGACACCAACATGGAGGAGGAAGGGGGGAGGAGGGCTGGAGAGACAGGAACATGGGAGAGGAGGAGGAGGAGGAGGAGGAGGGGGAGGGGGAGGGGGAGGAGGAATGGGAGGAGGAGGGCCAGAGATGACACCAACACAGGAGGAGGGGGAGGGGGAGGGGGGAAGGGGGGAAAAGGGGAAGGGGGGAGGCAGAGAGGAGTAGGAGGAGGAGGAGAAGGGCCGGAGACGACAGGGACATGGGAGAAGGAAGAGGAGCAGGAGGGCCAGAGATGACACCAACACAGGAGGGGAGGAGGGGAGGGGGGAAGGGAGGAGGGGGGCCGGAGACGACAGGGACACGGGAGGAAGTAGGCACAGCAGCAGAGACTCAGTTCGAGATGTCAGTAAGTCCCCCAGGGCTTTTTGGGAAGAGGTGGGAAGAGTCAGAGATCTGCACCAGGGCCCATAACTGGATGAGAAAAAACAAGGACAGTCAGGCATGGAGGGGTGGGACTCCCTGAGTGGCAGTGACAGAGAGCTGGTCATACAGCAGGCAAGCACTTCCCAGCGCTCATCTGAAATTCATGCTCAGGAACAAGTCATTCCTAACAATCTAGAGAGAGAGCACAAAAACATAAGATGGGTTATAGCATACACACACCATGAAAACTGGTGTTTAAATTTCCCTCAGTATCTTAGATGCACTCAGATGAGCGGATACAACGATTAAAAATCATGTTTCTAAATAATACTTAAAACATAGGAATAGTTTTTAAAAGTCAAAGGAAAGAAGACATAGCATGACTCTCATTTCGTAAAAGAAAAATAAACACATGTAGACAAAATGACTAATGAGAAAGAAATATAATAAAATGCACACAGTGGTTTCTCTGGACGGTGGGACTATAAATAATATTTCATTTAAATTTTTTCCTGTAACTTCCAGATATCATAAGCATGTCTTATTTTATAATAAAACAGTGACACACTGTAGTAAAAACAATTTAAATTTCTATATTAAGGGTTATAATCCAAATACAGTGATGAGTTATAATCTATTTATCTGATAGTAAATAGTGTGGGCAAATAATGAGAAGCCATGGGAAACAGGAGACAACAAAAGGAAATTCTGAAGTCAAAACTGACAATCAGACTTACTTTTGGAAAATTAAGAGAAATGCAGATGTCCATAAGCAACATAAATACAAAGGGGGACTATATCCGAATAACCATCCATTTCATACCCAATGTGGAATAAGCTCAGATGCTAAAAGGAATATCATTCAACTGAGAGATTGTTAAAAATCCACCATTTTCCCATCTGCATCTATTTTTTAAAAGTCTATATAGGATAAAAACAAAGTATATGTTTTGCACAAGGAAACAAACATAGCTAAATTATTTAGAAAAAAACAAAAAAGCAGATTGACATCATGGGAGCTATTAAGTTCATATGTTCCTCCCCACCCAAAGAACTATGAGCAGAACTGTGTCATTCTTACTTTCTATAGACATAAGCTGACACTAAAATTCAAATGAGGCTAAAACTCAGTTAAAGCTCCAATAATTCTCTAATATTTAACAAATAACAGTTTGTACAGAAAAATTACCCAGAACATGCCTTACATCCTACCAATGACTTAGAGATCTTCCAGGGCAGGAACACTGAAGGCAAGTAATATGTTAAGAGCCTGTGCTAAACACTGAGTTTTACAAAGGTAGAAAAAGACAAAAAGGACATAGATATAACCCAAGGTCCAGGTTGCTGCTGTTTTTGCAACACTCTTCACATACTGTAAGAATTCTCTATTCAAATTTTTAAATGCTGATGAGAGTTTACACAATCGGAAGACCACAACTTTACAAAAGCAGAAAGAGAAAACTGAATCAAATGTTAAAACTGACTAGTTATTTCCTGTTATTCAATGAATTTCTTAGGCGACAAGTGTGACTTAGTGACCACATCATTCACACTTGAAAGAAATATTTTTACATAACTGCTAATAAATTGTAAAGTAAATGCCAGCAGAATCATTCTCCTGAAATTAGAATATATGTTATCTGAAGTAGGAAATAAATCTCGGTTTTGTTCATCATTTTTTTAAAGAGTTATTAAAGGGAACAATGAAGGTACTCCTTAGTTACTTTACCACCTACCAATCATTTTCAGATACCAAGTGGCAAAGGAAATTCAACATTTCATGCTGAAAAAGGATCAAATGATTATTAAAGTAAAATGGGATAAATGACTATTAAAGTAAAAACATAAACCATAGGCAGTTGCCCCAAATTCAGAATCGGTGTTAAAATAGTACATCCAGATGAACTTGACAATACATTTAAGTTAGAGAGTTTTTTTTTAAATCAAAGGAACCCAACGTAAAGTAACAGTCTTCAAGTATTATTTCAAAATCCAATTACAGATAAATCATTTTTAAGGAAAATCTTAAGATATCATGGGCCATATAAACCCCAGAGCTACTGATGCATTTCAAATCATAATAAAACCAGGTAGTTCCCAGTGGCCCAAGCAGCAGGGCTGAGGGAGCAGTGACACACACACACACACCTAGTGTCTGGGGACAGGGATCCCTCGGAAGACGCTCCATGGTACACACTCTGAGACAACCTGTTGTCGGGTCTAAGCTCTTTGTCATATGCCATCATATTCCACTCCTGGCGCCTGTTTCTGGCTTTTCTAACCTTTTTCACCTCACGGGTGGTGCCATCTATACGCTTTTGCTCCTGATGTCCAGGAAAGGAAAGAGAGCATGCCGAGACAGAAGGGAAAGGAAAACAGCTGGTTAAATGCAGTTATAATGCACAAGACCCATGCCTGATGAACAGACAAGACACATTCACATTTCGATTATCCTAATGTTACAGAAACGCTAAAGCAGTGTATTCTTCTTACCCAACAGAACCAACAAAACAGAATCAACAAAAAGTTACCCTGCTACAACCCTAAGAGTTGCTTACCATTGCTTTTATTAAACTGAAAAAACTTCACCTTGAATAGGCTTATAACTTGTTGTAAACCTAAACAAGGTCTTGCATAGTATATCACACAGGTGAATAACCTGGCAACACCATACAGAGAAATTACTTCCTGTCATCACACAATTTTGACTGATTTCTTAACATACAATTATCTTTCAAAGAAAATAATTCAAAACATTCTGTTCCCAATTTCTAAAAGATTACAGAATAAGTGAATCTTGTAAATAGTTTAACATGAAACTAACCAAGATAAAAACTTACCTGCCCATAAAAAGAGCCATTCTTCCTCTAGCCCTGGATTACGTTTCATTCAACAAATACTTAGGGTCTTATATAGGTGCTTCTTGAAAGGTGAGAACTTATTTCTATGTTTGCCTGTAAGTTTTTCCTGCCTCCTTCATAAAATTTTATTATCTTTAAGGATAAGAATCATGTTCTTCTATTTCCTATATTTCCCTCTTGTCTTATGGTATATCTCAACACAGTGTTTTTACACAGAATACACACTCAATACATGCTGGCTAAATGATCAAATCCACAGCCAGGCAGCAAACATGAACTTCTAGTGCTATGCCCGAGGTACTGTGCCAGGTACTGACAACGCAAATGGCAAACACACACACACACACACACACACACACACACACACACACAGAGACATGGCATCTGCCCTCATGGAGCCTGCAGTCCACAAGAGAACATGAATAAATGTACTATTATAAATGCATTGTAAAAATATTTATTTTTACAAGTATATTTTTATGTTTAAACACATATTTAAATATATATGTAAAATGATGTCTAGTCTGGAAGTCAGGGAGGTGTCCTAGAATGACTGAGAGGCAAGATCTGCATTGAAAGTGGCATCGATTCTGCAGAGGAGTCTGGGTCAGGTGCAAGCCAAGCAGAGGACAGACTGTGCAAGGACTCTGGGGAGGAAGATGGCACTGCACTAGGAGAAATAAAAGAAGGTAAATGGTACATTGGGGTGAATGGTCCAAGATCTGTAAGGCAGGAAGACCTTAGAGGCCTCCATCCTAGCAGCAGTGGGAACCCATTAAAGAACAAGAAGGGAAGGCTGACATGCCGAGAGGGCATTGGAGAAGATCTCTCTATGTTGCAGAAAACGGATTAAAAGAGGGAAGATCTGGACACAGGTGAGAAAGCTACTAAGTGGATATGGGGTGAAAGGGCAGCAGGTGGCCCAATGGTGTGGTGAAGACAGAAAACTGGACCATTTTCCGAGGCATCCAGAAGGCTTTAGTAATGGATCCACAGAGGATGTGAACATGAAATTCATAGAAGATAAAGAAATGGCTAATAAGCATATGAGAAGATGTAACACAGATTCAATCTGTCATCAGAAAAAAAGTAATATTCAGGACTGGGGAAATCCTGATAAGAATATAAACAAGGTCTTCAGTCTTTTCAAGATTAGGGGCAATATAATTGTATCTTTCAAAATTTAAAATTCACATTCTCTTCAATAAGAGCAATTCAACTTCTAGAAATTTATCCTGCAGAATTATCTGTACCTAAGTACAGGGATAACCACTGCAGTACTGTATGAGCAACAGTAATGGGCAATTTATGATGCATTTGCATTTCAGAATACTACACAACTATTAAAAATAATGAGTACCCTTTTAATAATGTCAGTGTATGTAAGTCATATGCAGTACAACTCTACATATACACAAATACTTGCTATTTGAGCATTTTACAACCAGCATGTATTTTGTGTGTACTTTTCAAAACCAAAGGAAAAAGTAGGGGAGGGAGATTTCAATGTGATTCCAATACTCATCCTGATTAAAAACCATCCTATTAGAAATAATGAATATTCCCCTTACTTTTTAAAAGATGTATGCTGACAAATTCAGGGATGAAGTGTTATGATTATCTGTAACTTTCTTTACCACAGTTCAGTCTCCAAATCTACCTATCAACAGGTACACAGGACATACGAATGCGTGTGAACCAAACAAGAAAGAATAGGAACAGTGGTGAATCCAGGCTCCAGCTACACTGGCCTACACTCAAATCCTCAGAAGTTGCCAAAGTGGTTCCTCCCTCAGGATGATCTTAGACTTTGCTACCTAGAAGCCTCCTCGATTTGGAAGCACGCCACCTGGCCTGCCCCCAACCCCTCCAGTCCTTCCCGCCCAGCACCCTCCCACTGTTGAGCTAACTTCCACTCCCCTCCCTTGGATCCCAGCCTGCCTGCCTCCTTAGAAAGGCCTTCCTCGACCCCTCACTGCGTGTACACTGTCGCACCACTAGATCATCTCAGAGTGCTCTGTACTTCTCCTTTGCCACACTTACCAATAGTGTAACTACATATTTGAAACTTGTTTGTGTAATTTTTAATGTTTATAAAGCATCAAACTGAAGGAGACAAAGTTCAAAAACAGTGGATTTTGTAATCCTCAAATTTTCTAAACTAATTTTTCCTTCAGATTTGTCAATTGCAAACTGAACGTTACTTGGGTTGCTGAAAACCTGGGAAATAAAGAATATCTTGCCTCATTTTCTATTTCTGTACAATGTGGACCTATATGAACACTTTCAAACTTTCCTCCCACTTTCTGCATTTCCAAGGGCTGCATGATTATTTAATGCTTGAGTCCCTTACTATACTGTCCTCTCCATGAGGATGGTAATCCTGCTTTTTTTCCGCCACTGTTTATCCAGCATTTAGAAGGCATTAACATCAAGTCATTATGTAAGTGAATGAAAGAAATTCTTATCAGAAAGGTATGTGTTTGAGGAATGCAGAATGGGACAAAACAGCCCAGGAAATAACAAGAGATTTTAAAGACACAATATCCATTCATAAAAATTGTTTCCCCTTCAAGAAGAATGGCAAAACATTAAACAGTTTTGCAAAAAGCATCACTGAGAAGGGATACCTAGAAGGCCTTTTAAAAAAATAGGCACATTTTATGGGCAGGTAAGCCCCAGCATTTTCCCCTGTAACTATAAAAAAGCATGAGGATTAAGACAAACATGCTTTTAAATATTAGTTGCTTTTCCACTCAAAAGATTGGTATCTTTCTTTTTTCTTAATTTGAATACTCTGTAAAACCTAACAACTTTTCCAAGACATCCCAGTTAAATCTCCCAAAGCCATGAGCACAAGAAGACTGTGTGAATGACCAAGTCCTTTGCATCCTTTCCCGGAATCCAGCCATGGTGACTTACAGCAGCACAGCCTGCAAACCGTTCTCCTGTTCCCTTCCCTTAAATGTCGTTTTCAATGATCAAATTCTCGTTCAAACCACACTGTCACTCCTACTAGGCCAACACACCTCAATGCCTCAAAACCCTAAGGCCACCAACTCACAAAATGCTAAGCATTTCTCCTAATTAAAGTGCTCTAATCTGTCAAGCAAACTGGATGGTCATTTTAAAATATAGTTGACATATATAAATATTGCTAAATACTTGTCCTTAGAGAATTATTCCTCTCAGTGGCCTAAATCCAATTTCTGGGCCCCAAAGGGACAATTTTCAAAACATAAATCCCTTTACCTGTGTAGAGTGGGCTTCTCCTTTGAAGACTGCTTGTAATGTAGCTATTTCTCAACCTTCAGACTTGAAATTCTCTTCCTACCCCTAATCCCTTAAAGGGAGGTTCATTTTCAATAAATCCTGTCCCCTGAACATGCAAATCACATGTGCTTCTCCATCCCATGTGAACATCTCACCAAGATTTTAATTACAGCTAGAAGGCAACCCAACAATTAAAAATGTTAAAAAGACAAAAGCACATCATTGCCTCTGGTATGGAATGCTGACTGCTTTATAAAAATTTCAGAAAGCAGGAGAGAAGTTACTAAAACATGGTAACAAAACAAATTTTAGGAGCTACTTTTGTTAAAGCAAAGCAAGTGCTGGAGAACAAATCAGTTAGTATTTATTGGAAAATAGCATTATTAGGTTAGACAGAATTGTTGGGATCTTTCTGTGAGAAATGCAACCTCAAAAAAACTTCAGCCATATAACCAACATCTCAACCATTTAAATAATTTACTATTTCTAAACAAGAGTCACCTTTAAACATTAATATGCACATTTCCCATACTGAAATTATTTACCTTTTGACGCCTTTTCTCTTTCCTTTTGTCTTCTGTGTCCTGTAGCATTTTTTCTTTCCAGAGGTCAAAGAAATAGGAAGGATCAGTATAGAACTTCAGCCCGTCCTTCTTGTCATCTCTACAATTAATGTATTGTAAGTCGGGGAAGAAAAGATTGTTAGAGACTTTTATATGTAGGGTAATGTTGACTTGAACTTATGGGATTATAACATCTACATGGGGCACTTAAACTAACCTACATATATTAAGTCTGTAAGTTTCCTTATTTGAAAAAAATGTGAAAACATAAAATAGCAACCTGCTGTAGAATAATTAGGTTAGAAGTACTCTTGCAAATTTAGAATCAAGTATAGAAAATTGCTCTAAAAAAAAAATCACAACATGGCTCATATTCAGCAATTTATAATACCTCAATTATTTCAGGAAAGTTTCTGTTTATTCCAACATGGGGCTATACAGAGAGATGGATGGATTCTTCGTAAGTACACATTCACTGCTACTCTGCAGCTTCAATATCATTAGGATAAATATTAAGAAGTACTCTATCCCTTTTTCCCAATAAAATTTGCCCAACACCCATAAGTTCAATTATGAAAGAAACAGAATATTTATGGGGCATAAATGTGAGGAAAAACAGTGATGAACTATGTATTTTCAAACTGGAAGCAACCTACACAGAAACTTTATTCACTTGTAGCCCTTTCATTTTAAAGCACTGTCACAGATAATTACTGTGGTCTAGAGAATATTTTAAGTCTTCAAATAAGTAACTCATTTATCATCAAACCAATGATGCAGCTCAGCTAGCAGAGGTCCAAAGCTGTCACAGAAATCAACAGTCATGATCAGAACCAACAAGATACAAAGTAAACACTGTTTTCTATTAATGCTTTAAAAAGTATCTGGCTTGAAGACTACCGTCAAAAGGAGGAAGAACCTTTTATATTATTTCATATCAGTATTTCAGCGAGTCATTAAGGAACACAGGGGAAGCAAAATCAGTTAAATGAGTATAGGAGAGTTTATGCCCAAACAGTCGAAGAAGGCTAACTGAATTATTCAGAGGGTAAAAAGGTCCGTCATTAAAGCCCCTGCTATGCCATCTCCTGGTGTCTTAAACCATCAAATACCAAGGCTTGGGTGCCTATGTGGCTATTCTAGTCACTATGTCTGAAAATCACTGAAGAGCCAGTACAACTCACACTATACCTTAACCTTTGACTATTAACGTCCTTCCTTTCTTTTCCTAGTTTCCTAATTGATAGGCAACCTGCTTAATAGAGATTTAATTAATAACATTATGAGAAAGAAAATTTGTTTCCCTAAGATACCAAGGCCTTGCATATAGGTAGAGGTCTAGAAAAAGCTGCAAAACTTTAGATGTATAAGATGTACATTTCTTTTCTAAATAATGGAGCCAGTACCTTAGTGAAGGTAGGAACTCAAGTAAGCAAATGTTAACCTTGACAAGAATATAAACAGATATGTTCTTTTTAAAAATTATTATTATTATACTTTAAGTTCTAGGATACGTGTGTAGAATGTGCAAGTTTGTTACACAGGTATACATGTGCCATGGTGGTTTACTGCATCCATCAACCCGTCATATACATTAGATATTTCTTCTAATGCTATCCCTCCCCTTGCCCCCCATCCCCCAAAAGGCTCAGGTGTGTGATGTTCCCCTCCCTGTGCCCATATGTTCTCATTGTTCAACTCCCTTTTATGAGTGAGAACATGCGGTGTTTGGTTTTGCGTTCTTCAGTTAGTCTGGTGAGAATAATGGTTTCTAGCTTCATCCATGTCCCTGCAAAGGACATGAACTAATCCTTTTCATGGCTGCACAGTATTCCATGGTATATATATGCCACATTTTCTTTATCCAGTCTATCACTGATGGGCATTTAGGTTAGTTCCAAGTCTTTCCTATTGTGAACAGTGCTGCAATAAACATGGGTGTGCATGTGTCTTTATAGTAGAATGATTTATAATCCTTTGGTTTATATATACCCAGTAATGGGACTGCTGGGTCAAATGGTATTTCTAGTTCTAGATCCTTGAGGAATCGCCACACTGTCTTCCACAATGGCTGAACTAATTTATACTCCCACCAACAGTGTAAAAGTGTTCCTATTTCACCACATCCTCTCCAACATCTGTTGTTTCCCACAGCTTCTAAACACTTAATTTTTCAGTCACTTAGGCTGGGGTGTAGTGGCCCAGGCCTGTGATCCCAGCACTTTGGGAGGCCAAGGAGGGTAGATCACCTGAGGTGAGGAGTTTGAGACCAGCCTGACCAACATGGTGACACCCGGTCTCTACTAAAAATAAAAAATTAGCCAGGCTTGGTGGTACATGCCTGTAATCCCAACTACTTGGGAGGCTGAGGGAGGAGAATTGCTCGAACCTGGGAGGCGGAGGTTGCAGTGAGCTGAGGACAGGACATACTACGAGGGATGGAGAGACAGTGTATGAAAGAGGGATATGGGACCGGAAGTGACAGCAGGTATGGGAAGAAAGTGCTGAGGTGGGAGAAGACAGGAGGGGTGTTTAGAAAAAACATTTTTAGTTAGTATCTTCATATTGTGTTTTGCACTATCTATTTTCCTTGGAAGTCTGGTCCTGATAATGTGTCCTACCTACCATTTTCCAGTAACAGAAGGTTAATTTGTTGATATTCACTCTTCAAAACCCCTAACACTACAGAATACATTTTTTTCTGAATTAAATAGCGAATGTCTCTGCAGTGTTGAGACAGGTATCTTGCTGCATTATAAATGAATTATGCAGTTCCTTTCAAACTGACTTTGAATCTAAAGAACAGCAATATAACCACACACACAATACTGTTATAAAATAATGTACTCACTTCTACTTAAGGTAGCTATATCTAAAAGCTAAAATCAGAGCTCACATTTCTATTGTTAAATGTATCAATATGTTGAAAGACTAAAACTTTAATAATTATGTACCAATGAGTACCTTCAGTGCAATGATTATTTTCAAAGTTTGAAGCAATTCTGAATCTTAACCCAGATGACCCATCAAGGACATTCCCACACAATGCATCAGTTTGCTCCCAGTTCTGCCCAGCTCTCCCCTCATCTCTTAGCAAAGGCTCTGGCACACAAGAAGCTATACCTGTATGGTGTCAAGATGTTCAGAGGTGGTGGCTTATCACTCTGGTTGTAAATATCAGCAACAGGATTCGGAATGCTGTTCTTTGAAACCACCTGCTGGTCTTGGACTGTGGAACTTTTGAAAGCTTTTTTCATGTTGATATCCTGTAGTGAGACTATTTAGAGAAAATCCCCCAAGTTGAGTTATATAGAAATATTTTTAACTATTTAGAAATAAGTACCATTCGACTCACAATCAAAAACACCTCAAGAACAAGCAAATAATATTTTTTATTGTCTATTTAAAACCATGCTTAAATAGCAAGTGAATCCCTTCTCTTTCATAGATAACAGTTATCACTATGAAATGAGATCAAATTATGGTTTTTTTTTGTAGTAATCTAATTATTTCACTGAACCTAATATTAGAGTAACATTCTTTATTTAAACAGCACATCTCAGAAACCACACAGGAATACAGTTATGAATGTAACAGGCATGTAAATGCAAAGATTTGAATATCCTAAGGAAAACATCATTCAAACAACATTAGTTTAAATATAATGCACGTGGGAAATAATTCTGCAAAAATTACACAAATGGAAATAACACATTAAGTTTTTCTGAAACAAACATTAAGGAAAGATGGCAAATCTTTTCAACATAATCTAGCCCCAGAAATTAAGTAGCTTAATTGATGACACAAAATTATACTAAGGATTCAGGAAACCAGGGCTGGGCAAAGTTCTTTCTTGTGCTTGTACAGCACTTCACATTTCATTTATTAATTCATCTGACTTTCATCAAACTTTTTGAGGTGGACAAACTAGGCTATTAACTTACCTTCTCAACCACTTAAGCTGAGATTCAGGAATGTTAAAATTCCAAAAACTCCAGCAAAAAGAGTGGCAAGACCAAAATGGAATACAGACTTCCTAACCTGCAGTCAAGTATTTTGTCTAGGATAACATCCATGGCAAGAAAAGCAATAAGGTAAAATCTTGTTTGGAAAAGGATTTTAAAGATATGACATGTACTATAAAATCTCATAAAATTTAATCTACAGTTTAATCTTTTCCAGGATAAGGTTCATCATAAGCATTCTAATGACAATAGCCAACAAAAAGTTGAAGAAAGATGAATAGCTATTAAAAATCACTTGTGATACTAATTTAAAACGTGAATGATTGGTTTAAGATGTTAAGAACTCCTTACTGGAATAGACCAAGTAATACTTATTGTTGGAAAAGTAAGAATGCCTCTATGATGGATATTAAAATTAATGTTCTACATTTTTGTTATATTTGTAATTCACTAATCAAATTTTGACCTTTGAAAAAGACCTGAACATGAAATAACATATCTTTTTTAAAATGATGAGGGATGAATTCCACAAGTAACTAGATTTTTAAAAAAAATAAAAGCACAAAAATTAGATGCTAGAATCTTTTTAAAGAGACAAGAAAAATTTTTAACTGCCATTATTTAAAGGTAAAACTAAATTTTAACCTAAATATTTTTCTCAAATATGAAGTGGTATATTTTGTACTTTTAAGCATATTTTCTCCAGCTCAATCTCAGTCTTTCATGCGGGATACTGAAAGTAAATTTTAAAAAAGGAATGAATTGTTGCTAGTTTTAATTTTGTTGAAACTGACAATTTCAGGGTATATATCATCAAGTGACTATCAGTTAACTATAAGATGCTTGTCAATATTAACATTATTTTAAAACCTGAAGCGTAAAGGCCTTCGGTAAATGCTCTTTCTGAGAATATTAATAAAGTTTTTCAATCAGCAGAATCACCAGGATTTTACAGGCATCAATCCTAACAAAAGCACCAGGTGCTCAGACCTTCCCTATGTCACACAAGGTATGTATAACACTGTCTCAGTTGGACCATATCTGTAGAGTGATTCTGTAATTTTTAGTTAAGAAACTATTTTAAACATATCTATCAGTAACCTGAATTGGAATTTCTAATACTGACTGTATTTGCTGAAGCATTTAAAACAAATACTATACTTGCTATATTTTTTAAGAGTATAGAGATGAGGTAGACGAGACATGAATCTTTTCATCATGAGTTAACCCAAAGTTGTAGGTTTTTCCCTCACTATTCTTCTAGGAAAAGACAAGACGAAATATCCGCATACCACCCCAAGGAAAAAGCAGTAATTACGCTGCGATTAATTACTACCATCCTGTCAACATCACTTCTAGCTCACTGCTTTCAGGCAATTACCTACCCTCTTCCACTGTTGAATCCAGCTGGGTGACTTTGACAGCAAGGCGATCAATTCTGTCTTGAAGAGAATTTGCTCTGATGTAGAAATTGTTAGCCTCATTAAACAACTCACCAAATATGTCTTCAGCATGTTTGCCTATAGAAGAAAATGAATGGAGAAGGCCATCTGTTAGGGAGCTGATGAGGTGGCCCTCACACATCCTCATCAGTGCTTATTCCTGTCAACACGTGAGATTTTGTGCAAACAAGTATGAAAATAAAGTGTCACAGTCCACAGCCTTTAGAACCTCTTAAGTTTATTAGAGATACTCATATAAATGTAAAATTGACTCAGAGTTGGAGAATTTTAAAATATCCCAGATAGTGTAGAATCTTTATTGCTATATGAGCTATCACCCAAGTTGCTTTCCACTAACTGCAACTTAAGTTCTCATTTTTCATGCTTTAACTATAAATACAATCTCAGGAACCAAACTTTCACTTTATTCCCCAAGATAATTCAATTATCATTTTGGCCTTTAAATCTTGGATTTTATCTCATTTACAATCAGAAACATTAGATATCTTATTTGTGCCTAACACTTTCCAACGGTATTAAATTCTTCTAATTAATATTTTGAAATCTAGGTATATAGTGCTGACTTTCACACTCTTTATAAATGGAGATTTTGAATTCTGAGTTAAATTTTTCTGCATGGCTCATTTCTACATTCCTCTGAGTGCTAGATATAACTCTCACTTTTCTTAAAATGTAACATTTCTGAAAATTTAGCAAGCCAGATATGAATCATATCTGCTTACACTGAATTTCTAAGTCCTAACACTATTAAATAACTGCCTACTCTGAGTGTACAGGGCACATCCCACCTTAACTTTTCTGAAGGAGATACCTACCACTTCTTTTTATTTTCAATCAGTGTATTGTGAGGTCAGGAGTTTGAGACCAGCCTGACCAACATGGTAAAACCCTATCCCTACTAAAAATACAAAAATTAGCCAGGCGTCATGGTGCGTGCCTGTAATCCCAGCTACTCAGGAGACTGAGGCAGGAGAATCGCTTGAACCTGGGAGGCAGAGGTTGCAGTGAGCCGAGATTACGCTACTGCACTCCAGCCTGGGCAACAGAGCAAGACTCAAATAAAAAAAAAGAGAAAGAGAACCTGAACCTCTCAGGAAGAAAACTTCATTAAAATTAAGAATAACCCTAAAGTTCTTGTGGTTCTTATATTTTATACATTGCTTTTATAGCTGCTTTCTGTACTCTTTGCTATAATCTATGAAACTGTGAACTACGTCTGCTCAATGTTTCAGCTCTAGCCCTGTGTCACACTTCCTGCACACACCTGTTCAATGAATAAGTAAGCGTGGGAGGTAAACAGGAAGTTAATGTTCTCATTCTCTGGCTGACTAAACTGCAGATCATCAGAAAGGTGATCTGTCCAAATCCCATGGCTAGTACATGGCAGAAATAGATGGAAAAAAATAGAAAATATATATATATATATAGTGTCTTTTAACTTTCTAACTTTCAGTTCTCTGCTTTTATCACATAGCTCCCTGGAGTCCCGTAGCTGCAATCTTCATTAATTATTTCTGCCATGAAACACCCGATAATTTCCTATCTACTTAATGAAAGGGACTAAAATATTTTACTGCTTAAATGGTTATACCCAGACACTGGGAATGAATTCTTATGCACTTAAAATTAGTATAATTTCATAGACTCTAACTGAGTAACTGTTTTAACTAGAAGAATTTCTCTTAGAAAATAAGAATAAATCAATAAACACATACCCCATCCCCCACCAAAAAAGGAGAGAAAACCCCAGATTTCAGCTTTCTGCTAAGCACTAAGTTGTTTCTCTTAAAGGTCAATATCCAGAGCATGGTCTTCTGGGTTTACTTAAAATTCTGTTGACAGTTCCCTCTCTCATAATACGCAAAATGGTTCCACAAAGGCAAAAAAATAAATAAATAAAGCCTTCATTCAAACTATATACATTTTAAAATATTGTAACTAGCTGTGACATCCAGAATTAATCTTTGTTTACTGCTTTATGAACTCTTTCCTGAGCTCCAACTTGTTATCTAATTAACTACTGAACAGCCCCATGTTGGTGTCTGTTAAGATTCTCAATTCCTGTACAAGTTGAAACATAATTCCTTTTCACCTTACCTTAAACCTGCATCCCATGTTGAAAAGCATCCGCTATTCAAAACGAAGCCCAAGCCAGAAATGGTGTCACCATGACAGCTCCCTCTCTCTACGGATAACTTAACACCAATCTTGTCCCTTCTACACCCACCACCATCTTGCGCCAGACCCTCATTTCTCTCCTGAATCATATCAATAGCTTTTAGATTCATCTCCCACCCTCGAATTCATGCATCACATTGCTGCTAAATGATCTAACTGAAAGAACTGGCTATGTCATTCCTACTTAATTTCTTTACTGCTCCCTATCATTTCAAGATAAAATCTAGTAAGCCCCTTAGTATGGCACAGAAAGCCTTGTGCACCACACGTCATTTTTTTCCCCCATTTTTAAAAAAATAATATCAACTTTTATTTTAGATTCAGAGGGTACATGTGCAGGTTTGTTACTGAGTGACCCTACAGTTTGGGGAATGAATGGTCCCATCACCCAGGTAGTGAACATAATATCAAAGAGACTGTCGGCCCTTGCTCTCTCCTTCTCTCCCCATCCAGCAGTCCCCAGGGTCTATCGTTCTCATTTTTTATGTCTATGTGTACCCAATGCTTGGCTCCCACTTTTAAGTGAGAACATGCAGTATTTGGTTTTCTGTTCCTGTGTTAATTCTCTTAGGATAATGGCCGCCAGCTGCATCCATGTTGCTGCAGAAGACATGATTTCATTCTTTGTTATGGCTGTGATGTACCACATTCTCTTTATCCAATCCATCATTGATAGATACTCAGGTAGATTCCATGTCTTTCCTGTTGCAGACAGCGCTGTGATGAACATACAGTGCATGTGTCTTTTTGGTAGAATGATCCATTTTCCTCTGGGTCTATGCCCAGTAATGGGATTGCTGGGTGGAATGGTAGTTCTAAGTTCTTTGAGAAATCTCCAAACTGCTTTCCACAGTGGCTGAACTAATTTACATTCCCACCAACAGTAAGTAAGCATTCCCTTTTCTCTGCAACACTGCCAACATCTGTTATTTTTTGGCTTTTTAATAGTAGCCTTTCTAACTGGCTGCACCTCGTTTCTGCCCTTATTTGGTGCTCCAGTCAGAATGCACTACTTGCAGCCTACACTTATCCTACTTCCTCACATTCCGTCTGTGCTTCTGCACAGCTGCTCTGTTCCCTCTGCCTCATGCATGGACACCTCCTTCCTCACTGTAATAGCTGACACTCCTGAGCACTCACAGGGGCAGAACAAAGCCTAAGTGTTTTACCTACCTTTTCTCTTCCTACTAATCTCCCATGATTTCAGTCACTTTAACAGTTTTAATAATGACTAAACTTCCTCTCACCACTATCTCTCATACCCATTAGGATGGCTACTATTTAAAAAACAAAACAAAAATGCAGAAAAGTGTTGGTAAGGATTTGGAGAAATTAGAACTCTGCGCACTGTTGGTGAGAATGTAAAATGGTACAACTGCTGTGGAAATCTGTGTGGTGATTCCCCAAAAAATTAAACATATGATCCAGCAACTCTACTTGAGTATATGCCCCCAAATAAATGTGAGCAAGGATGTGAAGAGACATTTGCATACCTATGTTCACAGAAGCATTATTCACAGTAGCAGACCCAGAGGTGGAAGAACCCAAGTGTCCATCAACACAGGAATGGATAAACAAAATATGGTATACACATATAATAGAATATTATTCAGCCTTAAAAAGGAAGGACATTCTGACATATGCTACAATATGGAAGAACCTTGAGGACTTTATGCAGAGCAAAGTAAGCCAGTCACAAAAAGACAAATACTGTATGATTCCACTTATCTGAGGCATCTAAAGTAGTACAATTCATAGAGACAGACAATAGAATGGTGGTTGCCAGGGGTTGGAAGAAGAGGGAAATAGGGAGTTCTTTAATGAGTGCAGAGTTTAAGTTCTACAAGATGACAACATTCTGGAGACCTGGTGCACAACCATGTACACACAGTGGTTAACACTACTTGCTACAGTTTGGATGTTGGTTGCCTCCAAATCTCATGTTGAAAGGTGAGCCCCAATGTTGGAGGTGAGATGTAATGGGATTTGTCTGGATCATGGGGGTGGATCCCTCATGAGTAGACTAATGCCCTCCCTGGGTGAGTTCTTGCTCTATTAGTTCCTGTGAGAGCTGGCTGTTAAAAAGAGCCTGGCAGCACCTCCTCCTCTTTGTATCCTCTCTCTCCATGTGACCTCTGCACCCACAGCTACCCTTCACCTTCCCCCATGAATGGAAACTTTCTGAATTCTCACCAGAAGCAGATGCTGGTGCTATGCTTCTCGTATATGCTGCAGAACCATTAGCCAAATAAACTTCTTTTCTTTATAAATTACCCAGCCTCACGTATTCCTTTATAGCAACAAACACTCTACTGGACTGTACACTTAAAAATGGTTAAGGTAAATTTAACATTATGTAAATTTAATCACAATTAAATTTTTTTAAACCTAGAGAATCAAATCATAAAAATCTAGAATTCAGCACTGAAAAAACCTCCCTCTCCCCCTGCTCCTCACCCTACACTCTCTCTCTCTTTTTCCTTTACAGCAAAGTGTCCCCAGAGTACCCCATGCTGCTCTGTCCTCTTCCCTTTCTCCATTCTGCCCAACCTCACACCAGTCCTGTTTTTGCCCTATCACTCTATGAAAGGGCTGGCCCAACTCAGCAGACCATCTCTCTCTGCTAAGTCAAGGGCCAGTTCTGGGCCTCATCCATCCAGCCTCTCCGTGACATGGCCCAGTGTTGACCGTGATGCCCAGGCCAGGCCTGCTTGCTGAGAGCTGGCAAGTGCCCTCCCGCCTTGCAGGCCCTCATCTCCCTCTGCTGCTTCTTCCTTCCCCAGACTTAAAACTCTGCAGGAGCCCAGGGCTCAAGGTCTTAAGCTTTTCCTTTTTATTTAAAAAAAAAAAGTTATTTATGCTATTTTTTTAAAAAAAAG